AGGGGAGGAGGGAGGGAACAAGAGATCAACCGAAGGACTTGTATGCATGCATATGAGCATAACCAGTGGACACAGACACTGGGGAGGGGGGGTGAGGGTATGTGCTGGGGGGTTGGGGAGGTCGGTGGGAGGTTAATGGGGAAAAAAGGAGACATATGTACTACTATTTGTAATACTTTAAACAATAAAATAAAATTTAAAAATAAAGACATCGCCCCATGATACAGATGTATCTACTCCATGTTAAAAAATGTGACAAGGAACACACACACACACACACACACACACATACACACACCTAGTTCTGACCTAAGAGACTTACAATACAATTGAGGATATAAATTTTGGAAAGACTATAGTTTGAACGTGTTCATCTTCTATCATTTGATTCTTTTGAGAGAATAAGCCACTATAAAGTTTGCTGATAACAATATATGCTTATTTTTTATGACTTCATCTCTTCCACAGTCTTTTTTATTATTATTAGTCAATTCTGCCATTTGTGGCCACAAAAACTAAACCTAGTTTTCATATCACATCATATTTTTTTCAATCCATTCAGACAGTGCCTATTCCTCTCCATAAAAATATTTATTCTAGATTTACCCTAGAACGCAGACCACTAGAGCTGAAAATAACTGTAGAGACTGCCTAGTCCAACTTCCTCATTTTATAATGTATTGATTTCCTATTGCTGCTATAACAAATTATCACAAACTTAGTGCCTTAAAACAATGTAGACTTATTCTCTTGCAGTTCGTGAGGCCAGAAGTTTGAAATCATCTAACTGGGCTAAAGTCAAGGTCTTGACAGCGCTGTTTCCTGCTGGAGGCTCTAGGGCAGTGGTTCTCACCTTCCTAATGTCGCGACCCTTTAATACAGTTCCTCATGTTGTGGTGACCCCCAATTTCATTGTTACAAATTGAACATAATTAAAGCATAGTGATTAATCACAAAACAATATGTAATTATATACGTGTTTTCCAATGGTCTTAGGCGACCCCTGTGAAAGGGTCGTTCGATCCCCAAAGGTTCACGACCCACAGGTTGAGAACCACTGCTCTAGGGGGAAGAATCCTTCTCCCTACCTTCTTCAGCTTCCAGTGGCCTGCATTCCTTGGGTTGAAGCCCCTTTCCTCTCTCTCTTCAAAGCACATTTCTCCAAACTCTGCTTCCATCATCATATTGCCTCTTCCTCCTTTGACTCTTCCTGCATCCTCTTGTAATAATGGTTGTAACTACACTGAGCTCACTCATATAATCCAGGATGACCATCCTATATCAATATATTTAATACACCTGTGTCCTCTTTGCAATATAAGGTAACATCCACAGCTTCCAGTGTGGACATATTGGGGAGAGGAGCATTATTCTGCCTACCACAAC